TTAGTTATTGTATGCTTTTGCTTGATTGCTTTATGGAAATCTTTTCTTTTTTTTATTATGTTTTACTATTTTTCTAATTTTGTAAAAATATAACATGAAAATGTTAATAATGCATATTTTATATTTTATACAAATCAAAGCTTGCATTTAAATTGTTTTATGTAATTCTTTATTTAACTTAATTAATTTACATTTTTTTTGTTAGTTATAACTTAAAATAATATATTCTAAAATATAAACTTGATCTATTTCAATAGATGAAAATAAAAGTGTTTCCTCTGACATTCATCCCTTGGATCCTAAAGTTGAAGTTCCTAAAAATCAGATAGAATTCAAACAAAGAATTTTAAAAGGCCCATTTCAACCTATACTAGACATTTACCCAAGAACCTTGTTTAGTGGAACACTACGTAGTTTCCAAAAGTCATGGTATCAGCAATTTACTTGGTTAGAGTATAGTCCAGAAGAAGATTTGGCATTTTGTTTCCCTTGTAGGATGTTTATTGGATCCATAGTACTTAATGTTGGCCAATCTGAATTAGTATACTCAAAACTTGGATATAAGAATTGGAAAGCCGCTACCTCAAAATTCAGTTTACATGAAAAAACCAAAAATCATTTAAATAGTTCCACATCGTTGATGAATTTTTTAAATTCCAAACCTATTGATGTTAGTTTAGATAACCAAATAAAAAGTATTCACAGCCAGAAGGAGTTAACACGACAAAAAAATACAGAGATTATGAAACGATTAATCGATATTACTCTATGTCTAGGTTTTGGTGGTAAACCATTCCGTGGACATACAGAAAATAAAAATGATATTCATAAAGGTTTGTTTTTAGACATAGTAGGTCTTCTACGTAAATATGATCCTATTTTCAATGAACATTTTATATCAGGACCAAAAAACGCTATGTATACGAGTAATCATATTCAAAACGACCTAATTTCATCCATTAACCTGGTTATTAAAAGACAGTTAAAAGATATGATACTGAATGAAAAAGTTTCGTTGATAGCAGACGAGACTAGTGATATTGGTCACCACGAACAATTATCGATTGTATTGCGTTACTTCAACAAACAAACAAAATGTCCAGTAGAACAATTTGTTTGTATGAAGCGAATAAAAGCAGTAGATGCTCAGACTATTTTTAGCTCATTAAGTGATATTATTCATGAATATAATATCAAATGGGAAAATATAGTTTCTGTCTGTTTTGATGGAGCGGCATCTATGGCCGGGTGTACTACAGGAGTTCAAGCAAAATTCAAAGAAAAAAACATAAATACATTTTTTGTTCATTGTTATGGACATTGTTTGAATCTTGTTCTTGTTGATTCTGTAGGTAGACAAAATCGAATAACATTTAATTTTTTTGGAAATATCCAGCTTATTCATAATTTTATTGAAGGCAGCTGCGTTAGACATGCAGTCTTAGAGAAAATTGCTAATACAATCAACTTAAAATTAAAAACATTGAAATCTGTTTCTACTACCCGATGGGCTTGCCGTTACGAAGCCGTTAGTGCAGTGAAAGAAAATTACCCAGCTTTACTTATCGCCATTAAAGACATTTCTGAATCTACTAGACAAGCAGATGTTCGTGCTAAAGGCTTAGGTATAATTCACCAAATGCAAACATTTGAATTTGTATTTGCATTAGAAATGCTAGACCCTATACTATGTTCTATATTAAAAGTTAGTG